CTCTCTCTCTCTCTCTCTCTCTCTCTCTCTTCCTCTCTCTTTCACTCTCTCTCTCACACACAGACTCACACACACTTAGTATCTCGCAGGCACTCAACTAGCCAGACATGTTATATAACCCTAATCATCTTCCCCTGCTTATTTGATAAAACATCGATACACACTAGACAGCGGGTCATGCCAACAATCCTGGATATCTTTGTAGGCTGCGTCAAAATTTTGGGACTCGTGTAGCCAGTCGCGGCTCGTGGTTTGTGAAACTGACCGGCTATCATTCATATTGATTTCCTCAACCTCCAACCCCCTTTGTCTTCCTCCCACCCCCTCCCTCCCGCTCGCCGCCCTCCCACACACATGCATACAGAGACACATTTCATACTTTTACCGGTATCTTTGCTTGCTCCCCCCCCCCCACTTTTCACAAACAACACACACAAACACATGTAGAACCCTTGGGAATATTATGGCCCCCTTCCCCTAAAATTTCTTATGTCCTCGTACATAATGATAATGTTAACGAGCTGATTTATATTAGTCTGAAAAACAGAGAACCAAAATGATACCACACCACTGACGCTGTCCCAAGCAGACCAAGTCTAGGTAGAATCCGAAACAATAGGCTTACAATACACCTAATACATACGCATTGAATAAAGCAAGCACACAACATGACAATGTCCAATCGCAATTCTATGTCGAATACTAATTTTAAAACAGAGAATTCAGGGGCTCTCGTGGCCTAGAGGTTAAGGTGTTGGCCTCTCATTCAAAGGTCCCGGGTTCGAATTTGGGTAGCGACCGAAACATTTTCTTCTCTAAAATTGTCTCCTTTAACGTCCTTTCCTGCTCTCTAGCAATGATCTGTCGTCTGCTTTCGTCTCCATTTTCTTCCCCCACCCCCTCACCTCCTTTGGGCCATTGACTCTTTCTGTAGCCGTTCTAATGTTACTCCTTGGCTCCTTCTTGCTGCAGTCTTTCAGCCACACCCCTGATCTTCTGGTAGGAAAGATCTACACCTAGCCTTCTCTCTCTCTGTCTCACTTTCTCTCTCTTTCTCTCTCTTTCTCTCTCTCTCTCTCTCTCTCTCTCTCTCTCTCTCTCTCTCTTTCCTTCTTGCTAACGCACACACACACACACACACACTCACACACACACACACCCACACACACACACACCGCTGTATAGAAATGCAAATAGCGCACATGGCCAAAAATGAAAAGGTTCGGCCAGCAAAAGAGAGAAAGACATCACTTGAACCTCTGTATGTACGCGACACGAGACTGTGTGGTGGGGGCGTGGTGTCGGTGTGCTTTAGGAGTACGGAAGATGGAAGTCGAAGGAAAAGGGGAATTCCCCAAAGCTATTTGCCCTCTGCGAGCGGGGGAGGGAAGAATGGAGGGTGCCGATGTGTGGCTTTGCGGAACGCGAACGCTGATGTGGTTTGTGGACTATGGAATAGGAGGCAATAGGCCTAGGCTAAAGTGGCATGCTGGTTTGACGAAATTTGTTCGTGATCAAGGACCTTAGAATATTTAATTCTATTCATAACCTTCTTGACGCTGACCTGGAAGCTTGAGGCTTGTGACTTGGTGGACTTGGGTATTGCGAGCACCGAGCGGCTTTGCTAGTTGCTACAACTAGGCCTAGGGAACAACTCAGCCGCCAACACACTCGCCCGCTGTGTTTTGTCTGCAGCACACACACACACATCCTTCGTACATTCATTCTTTTCCCCGAGATTCTACCTTCCTGGTCGAAGCTTCTGTGTTGATATCCTGGATTCGGGTAAAAAAGGGTAAGGGTTAGATTCAAGTTAATAAGGAAAGGATTAGGGTTAGAGTTAGGGTTCGGGTTCGGTTCTGCTAACCACAACGCCGTATTACCTGAATCCAGTGCATGGGGTTAATCTTAACCCTAAGTTTAACCCTAAGCGTCATCCTGACCCTATCTCCCCCTTTCCCCCTCTCTTTTTATGTCTGTCTGTCTGTCTGTCTGTCTGTCTGTCTGTCTGTCTGTCTGTCTGTCTGTCTCCCCCCCCCTCTCTCTCTCTCTCTCTCTCTCTCTCTCTCTCTCTCTCTCTCTACGGAAATCAAGAAAAAAATGTGGGTAAAACTGTAAGATTGTCATGTGTTTTAGATCTTGATCTAGATCTATACATGTATCTATGTGCTGTTCTCGGAATCCAAGGAGGTTATGTGTTGTAATGTTTTCTTCACATAGATCTAGATTCTAGCCACAGGGAAATTGTTTCATTATTGTTTTGGATACAGGTTGCTGTGCAAAGGTGAGAATGAATTGTTATTGTTGTTGTTTTGCCTCATTTTGTTTCGGGGCGGGTTTTTTTCTTCAGAATATCCACAGAGGGAAAAAATATTCAAACACATACATGTTAATCTATAATATTGTTTTTAAATTTGAATGTAAGATTTTGGAGAAACCGGTAGCGTTGGTGTCAGGTGATGTTATGGAAAGTAAAGCTTGCGTAAAATTGGATAAACAGAAGCTCATTTACACCGACGTCTGTGTTGTGGTGGTTAGCCGCCTCACCGTCGCATGCAGAAGACGTGAGTTTGATTCCTGTGTGGGTAAATTTTGATCCAGTATCTCCTTCTTTCTCACGAAACGTTGTAAATCCCTCCCATCACAGGTTGGCTTGACTGGCAGGGTAGATTCAGACAGCCTAATAACTAATAAATAACCTAAACTATATCGATGGGATAGTAAAACGTCAACATAGGCCTACGTAATTACAATGATCTCATCGACACAATTACGGTTGTTCAATGCTGATAGAAAACGAGACTGATCGACTGAGACATCGGAGGGTGAGTGCAGAAGAAGGATCCACAAGTGACACTTTTAACTTCCATGATAAGGAGTAAACACGAACAGATTTTCTCTTATATTTATATTATAATTGGAAAAGTAGAGTGTATAGCCTTGATCTACTTAAGGCTTGAACAACTGGAGATTATAACACTCTATAAAAGTTTGTCTGGATGTTCTTACAATAGTCGGACCAGTCCCAGTATCGGCTACCAGTTATCATTCTAGACCTATGGTCCTCTTGGATGTTTCCATTAGTCAAATACTAATGTAGGAAAAACACTAGATGGGAAGTGGGTTAAATGTCGTGTGTACTGGTTATTGTTTTGGTCAGGCGGTCGTTTGAGCAGGTTTGACTGTTTTTATTAAAACTGTTAACAGTTTTTTTCATAAATCACGGATCATAAGAAGAAAAATAGCGGCGACGAAAACGAAAGATATTAGATAGTGATAACAGCAACGATTACTGCAATAACAACTTCAGCCAAAAATACAGTAACGATAGCAGAAACAGCAATAGCAGTTACAAGAACAAGAAAAGCGACCCCCCCCCCCAACAAAATAACAACAACAGCAACAGCAACAGCAACAACGACAAAGACAACAACAACAATAATAATAACAACAACAACAACAACATGAGCAGCAAAGACAATAACAAGAGCAACAAACAACATCAGCAGCAGTAGCAAAAACAATAAGGAAAATATGCACCTTAATGTTCAGTACCTCGTAGTCGTACATGTACTTATCTTTTCTGAGAGCCCAGCATTTGCTGGATCGATTCAACAATATTTTTTGGGTATTTTACTCGCTTTGTTTTCAACATTTAGAATTTTTTTTAAATTTCGACATTACATATTATTATATTTCGAACAGATGCAACGATATTGTAGGTTAAGAAAATAAAAGGAAAATGTTGGGCTAAGTATCTGAAGAGCCACTCGACGTTTGGGTTTTTCAAGAAATGAATGATATAGTTAGCATTAAGATATTAACCTAATACAGCAACAACAATATAGCCTGCAACAACGTGACAAGACGTGCATTTGCTTTGACGTCGTCAGGACATTTTAATTTGGACGGGGAGAAAGGTCAAGAAGGCTTTCAAACTTTTCTGGTGATTTACTTGTCTCCTTATGTAATATTTATTATGTGACCGTGCTTTTTTTCTTTTGCTTTCCCTTCATTGGATGGAGTCGTGTCTTGATGAATGCTTAATATATTTTTAAAGAGTCGCAAACCCGAAGGCCTATGGCCGTTTAAGTTTTTTTCCCCATTCATAATGTCATTGTAATTGTAGAACTTCCTCGCTCCCATCCACACTAGGCAGGCTTCTCTCTCCGACTTTGCCTGCCAGGGCCAACTATGGGGCTGAGAAAGATACAGCGTCCCAGCAGACTGACGGAGATACTGGATAACAATCCTCCCCTCTCACACAAGAATTAAACTTACGTCACCTATGTGCAACGGCGAAGCACGCAATCGCTACACCACAGACACCGGTTTAGTCTCTTTTGTATCTCTAAAAAAAAAATGCTGTCTATGTAGATAAATCCAGTATTTCTTTGCATAACCTTAAGGCACAACGGCCTTTGCATTTCAAACAAGCCTTAGAACTTTGGCGTAGTTTTTACCCATCATCCTGTAAACGTTTCATAGAGTTCGGGCTAGCAGTTTTGGAGAGTCTCTACCCTGGAAGGATCCACTAAAAAAGTACCTTAACGTTGCAGGTCTTAAATGGCTGGTTAGGGCATAGACTTGTGTCATTATAATATCCTTGACAGTGCTCTCTAACGTATTTCCGGTTTACATTGGAGAGTGCCATTTTAGCTAAATGAAGGGCCGAAAGGGAAGGCGCTTCTCACACTCTACTATCTAGCCATTCGGTGGTTTTTGCTCTTCATTTGGACGTTAAAGTGAGGCTGATGTTGGGAACGTATTGCAACGAAGTGTTTTTTGGTGTTGTTTTGTTTTGAAAAAGCAAAGAGCGGCGGACATGACAGTGCATGGTCAGGGAGTACGCTGTACAAGTCTTTGGGTTGTGGGAACATTTTTAGTGTGTCTGCTATTTTGGAAGCCATCCACTTTGCACGAGAATGCTTTCAGAATGTGATTACTTACCACGACTGTAAAACGTGGCATGATTACAATTTTGTACTCTTTTAACCCCCTATGAAATAGGAACCACCTGACCATACCATTTCAGATACCATGCCGTTTTGGTATTGTTTTGCGTGTATAAGATAGATATTATTCTTAATTACTTTCTGATTCTCGTCTTGGCTGCTTTCTTGTATGCTTCATTTGAAGCCGATAATGTTTTGGAGTATACTAGAGTCTGCTGTGGTAATTATAGTTGTAAAGTGCATAAAGCATGCTGTAGAGCTCGTATGTGCCTTATATTGCATATATTATTATTATTATTATTATTATTATTATTATTATTATTATTATTATTATTATCTCAACTTTCAGCTTACAGTTTTGCAACATCTGGCTCCCATTATCGCACCCACAGCAACCTAAAACTTCTGAAATGTTTTTCCCGTCCTAGATTCTAGCAGCGCAGCCGTCTTTACCATCTTTTCAGTAATAGAAAACGGCAATCATTTCTTTCTTTTCTTTAGTTTAAAATCAAACTGAAACTCTGTAAAGTAAGGTAAGATTCGAGCCGATCACCATCCGAGGGACACTTTCCAGTCGATGAAAGCGGAAAGAGAAATGTGTATATATTATAAGCCTTCTATCCCAATTTTAAAAAAACCCAACTTATTATCCTGACTCAGTCAGCGTCTGTATACATTCTTAATGATGTACGTCCACCTAAAACTCATTTAATATGAGACTAGTTGTACAACTTTGTGATAATCAGTTGCTAAAGCAGGTTCGAGGAATAAAAAAGCCTTAGTCAAGAAACATCTGGTTCTAAATATATGAAAACACTACCTATACCAACTGCAACTAGGCCACGGCGTACATCTGGTGCACCCCCTGGCATGTCATGCGCGAATCCATTTCGTATGATTCAGAGACTAATGATGATAAACAAAGATACGAATGTTTTTAGTCACGAGGGTTTAGAAGAGCCATGCAAGTAATAAAAACAGAATACTTAACGACTATGACAACAGCTTGGTGATCTATTTGTGAACGTTTCAGCCTCTTTCACACAAAGCTGACAATGGGTGGTTAGCGGGTGCTCTGGTGAGGTTTGCTCCTTCTTTCCGATCAGACATCTAACGTCCTTATCTCTCCTCCCTCTTTGTGTGTTTGTTACTCTCTTGTAACACCTCTAATCTTCGGCACTGATATGAACCATAATATTGTGTTATAGGTGCCTTAAAGCTCTTACTTAAACTAAAATAAACAAACTGACATATTCAGGCTAAATATTACATTTTTAAGCAAGGTATTTATTGTTCCTTGTTCTCTTTTTCTCTTTTAGATATTCTTTGATGCCCGTGCCAAGCAGGGTCGGAAGCCCGCCTCTTAAATGATCTAATTTGTGTCGACTATAATGATGATACTGGTGTCTTGCGCGTCACATTGGGCGTAATTGCATAGCTTATGGTGTTCACGCTTCCCAACGAAGTAAAAAAAAAAATAGAGATCGAAGAACGGCGACCATGATAGTGCGCGTTCAAGGAGTACATAAAATTGGAATGAAATGTCTGTGTAGCTTTAAATCAGTCTTATGGACCTTACAAAGAACCCATTCTGGGTAGTTCATCATGCTTTAATCTAGCTGTTTTTTCCGAAACGATCTAAAGTGACTTAGCCGAATTAGATCCTTGATTTCTCGGACTCTTATTATCCTTAGACTGAACGACCCCATACTCACCCCC